CGCGTTGGTTTCCGTTAGATACTTCACAATTTTTCTGTAGGTTTCAGCTGTATCTGGTGATATCTTCGTGTCCTTTGTTCTGCTTAGACATGAATAGCTTCCAGAGCCTGTTATTTTGTTCAGTTGTGAGCATAGTAACTGAAAATTGTTTATGTTTTTAACGAATATGGGTGGAGGTCGGGGATCTCTTGGTATTGAAGCGGATTCCATCACTTCTTTATCATTCTGAAGCACCTGATAGGGGTTAGGGGTGAAAAACGGAGATTGTTCGGTTATCTCTTGTGAAGATGTACCTGGTTGATGCTGAAGTTCTTCAATTGTTGGTTTTGATGATGTTCCTGGCTGGGTTTCATTTTCTCTGGAGGTAATAGGCGTTACTGCAGGTGTTTGACGACATTGACGAGGCTTTTGTTTGACAGGCGAAGAACAAGGTGTTGAGCCTAACGGCCGAATTCTCTTGATAGAAGCTCTACTAGACATGGCCTGATTGTGATATCGCATATAAGGGAAAAAAAAATGAAAAAAAAATAAAATAAAATAAAATAAAAATAACCCTATAATTTATAACAAACAATAAATATCAATTATTGTTTTGTATTCTTGACTTGTTTTGAATAAATAATCTCAAAGATTTCACTGCAAAATAAGCAAATTCTGAGAGACGATGTAGAAACACGTCCTTTCGCATCAGCTGCTTGAGCTTATTAGTGTTGTTAACAATGGTTGGTGAAAAAAAAAAAAAAAAAATACACAACTGTGTTGCTTTAACAGCTTATTAAGTTTTAAATACAATAATTTCTTAAAGTTTTACACACTAGTTTCTAAATTTATTTTTGTTCTTTTAAAATATTTAATAACTACGGCTAGTAAATACAAAATAATTGAGTACCTAAGTAATTAGAAGTCCAGGCCTTAGCTTAGCCATCTAGTCGACTTTTCCTATTCCTTAAATTGATTTCATTTTTGTTCTTATTGAAGTCCAAACTATATTCTCTGAGAATTTTATTAATTCTTCTGAGAATTTTATTCATCCCATACTATCCCCTTCTCTACCTCAATGGACTACCTGTTTGTTTCCATACTTCTGTAAGAACTTTAGGAGTAATTTTCGATCAATATCTCTCCTGAAATAATCATGTTTCTCAAATTATCCGATAATCCATTGCTACCCTAAAACAGTTCCTGAGATTCCGTGATTCTATGCCCCTAAAAACTCGCCAACTCCTAGTTTCCTCACTCATCTTTCATCTCTTCGATTATGGCTGCTCTCCCACGTCACCGGTTGGTATGCCGAGTTGAAGTGGCTCTACCCAGTTCTCCGGCGGCACTATTTCCTAGATATATTCCTTTCTTTAACCTTTACAACCAAAAAGCCATCTTACCTCCTTGATTTGTTTACTTCTTGTTCCTCTGTTCATTCGTTTAACACGAGATCCCAGTCCATAAACCCATTTGTTGCCTCTCATAGAACCTTTTCCTTTAAAAAATCCTTTTTCATACGTGCTACCTTTTTCTTTAATTCATTACCTGCCTCCATAGACAAATCCTCTTAACTTACCTTAGTTGTTCAATATTTTTATTTAGTCACGGATTTATTTGTTAATTCGCTAATGCTGAAGTAAATTTCCCTAATGCTTTTAATAAACCATTGCTATGAATTTATTAATCGGCTCGACAGGCGCCTGAAACGGCCCTTGGCTCTCTCAACTGTCATTTTCTAGTCATTGCGGTCAATGGCAAGTCTGTACACTCCGACCATCCTCAAATCCTCAGCCACCGAGTCATTCCACCTTCCCGTTGGTATTCTGCGCTGTCTGACTCCATTCAGGTTCCCATAATATAATTGTCAGGTTGTTCTAATATCAGGCTTAGGTTAACACGGATCATATGATTATTTTATATAATCATTTTGGTACCCCGACTTAGCAGTTTACTATGGAGGAAACCTCTTAGAGCAATATATGCTTTGTTGGTCCCCATAATATGGCTAGTGTGGTTCAGACCTCAAAACATTGAGTGTGTAACAGTTATACAACTCTAGATTAATCAGTGATTTTAGTAGTTATTACCCGGAAATTTGTTATATTTATCAACTAGAGCCATCTATTGAATATGCTGAATCCACGGGTGAAGTTGAATGCTCATTTCACCTGAATTTTGTACGGAGATGATCGAAGGAAGTTAACCAAGGTTTCTGTCGGCTTACAGGTATCTTGTTAATAGAAATGTATCGTTCACGGAAGAATGGGTTCAAAGGAACGGGTCCTTTTAGTGAACGGTAGGAACGGTGAACGGTCGTTCACTACATATTACCTTTCCTCTGTCTTAAAAATCTCAAATTTGGAAGAAAGGTGTTTGTCAAAAAAGTGTTTAAAATATCATACATTTTTGGACTGCGGTTTGATCAATTTTTTTTGTCATTTAATTTATTATACTTATAAAAATAATTTTCCAGTAACATATAAATTAACCTTTTTGTTGGCACAAATTCGTCCAATTTAAATAATTTAAAAGCCAATCCTTCAACGATTGGTTCCCCAAAAATAATCAATTAATAACAAAATAAAGTAAAAAACACTAGTGTTTAAATTATTACTCATACTACCCAAATAATATTGAAATTTATAATATAAAAAATAAATTAACCTATTTAATTAATAAATAAACCAAAAATTGATAAACAGTAAATTTATATCAGATGATTTATATACAGTAAATATTGTGAGAAAAACTTGATAACATTTTTTTAATTGTAAATTATAGTTTAAATAATGATGTAAATAATAGTAATATAAAAGTGCCAGGGGTTAATAATTTTAAACATAAAAGCGTACTTATTTGTATTCAGTATGTTTTATCAAATGATTAATACGTCAATTTTTTTATTATAATTTATTTTAATCAATAAAGATTTGTTAGAATTTCAATTATAATTTTGTTTTTGGATTTAAAGTGATCGATTTCTAAGCTACGATTGATTAATTATTATAAATCTTTTAATATTACAATTATTAAAACATGGAAAACGTAATAATAGGTGTAAATCACAAATAAAATAATAAATCACAAACTTAATCGTGTATCCTAGATACCTCCTAGGTGCGTATAACGTCGCCGATGATGTATTAGCGGTGAGCACTATAATGACCTTGATACTCCTGCGAATATTTAGAAATAGAAATACATCATCGGCGATGTTATACGCACCTAGGAGGTATCGAGGATTGGGGCTGATCCGCTGTCAATTTGAGGATCTTTTGCAATATTGGTCCATTGCCCAGTGACAGTACAATGTACGGGATGCCCTATTCCGTCTACATTAGATTATAACACTGAAATCGCCAAATGTGTGGAGAGACTGTGTGTTGATTAGGGCTACCGAAGTGTGAGAGCTATACGACAGTCGCTGAGAGAGAATTATTTTGAAGAATGGACCAGTTGCTGGTGGCAAGGCGTTGGAGTTAGTAAATATAAATGAAAAGCATATAAAATGAAAAGCGTATCAGAGAAAGGTTATCATCAAGAACTGCTGACAGTTAAAACACTAAATTAGCTAGATTTATTAGACTGAAATGAAGAAAAATGAAGATTTTTTTATTAAAATAAGAAAACATCTGTGTGGTACACTGTCTATTATTTAAAAGATTTTAAATCCTGTTATCATTAAATAATTTATCTGCATCTAGGAATCCAAACCAAAACTTCCGAAAAGCCGCAAAATATTCTTCTAATTCAAAAGTTTGTTGCCAACTGATATGAGATCTGTTTAATGATCCAGGGAGCGGGTAGCTTAGTGAGTAAGCCTCTGACTTTCTATGATGAAGGCCCCGAAAGTTAATAAATATAAATGCCTGAAACAATTACTTTAGGAGTCAGAATGTTTAAAATGAATAGAAAAAATAAATATTTCAATTGATTAATGAATACATTTTTAACCACTTCTGTTTTAAAAAGATAAATATTAAAAACCACTTGAAATTGTTCAAGAGAAAAAAATACAGTTTTTAATAAATATCTTAGGTATAACTACAATAAATATAGTTTTAAACATTTTTCTTGTAGTAGAGGGAAAGGCACTAAACTCATATCATAGATCGAATACAATAAATAGTCTAATGTTACAATAAAAGATGTAAATCAAAAATAAAATAACAAGCGGGAAACGTAACAGTGAAAGGCAAAGTCCAATGGGCTAGTGAACGGCTTCCCGTTTATAGTTCTTCGACCAGTTGAACGACTAAATGATTAAGACCAGCTTAACCGTTCCGCGAATGGGATGAGGGGTAGTCTTGCTGGCACAGGTCGCGGTATAGATGGTCTATAGCCAGGTTGAATAGTGAAGGCGACTTGGGGTACTCCTCGTCGCACTTTGATCCATCTTGTCGAGTGGGCTTTGACTCCAATCTTAATTAAGTTAGAATCCAGGAGAGCCTCAATCACGTTTTTCAAATCTGGTGAGACCTCTCTTGCCTCCAGTGAGCTGATGATATGATCGTCAAATTGTCAAAAGCGCCGACAACATCAAGCCATTGAGAATTATCTTTTAGAAGCAATGAATATTTATAATTCAAAAGCTGTGTTTAAAGTAAACCTAAACAGTAAATTGAGAGTGTCAAAATAGTATTGGCACAGTTTTAAATATTTGCTATTAGCTCCATTCAAAACTAATTAATCCTCTCTCTTTCAAGAAATTAGAAACGGGGATCAACGATAATACAATGAAGGCCACTCAAAAGCCACTTTTGGGGATTTCACACATGGCCGCAGACTTTTCAGTATGGTTGGGGGGTCATGGGCCCTTCCCCCTCCCTTCTCCAAAAAAATACTAGGAAGTTTATTTTATGTATAAAAATTATGAATGACAATTAACATAATCATAGTTATTGTAAAACAAACAATGTAATAGTATTAAGAAAAATCCATTATATATACTTATATGTATTTGAACGATCGTTCTTGAACTTAAATCGTTTTGGAAGAGTGCAATTTTTTGAAATTTGATTAGTTATCATACGACCTATATAGCAGTTATTTCATTGTTTTGTTTTTTAAAGATTTATTTTCTAATTTTGAAATTAATGATGTCCGTAAGTAATATTGTCAAACAGTTATGGAACAAACGTATAGATCGAAAATTAGGATTTGAACAGGTTTTAAAAAAGGTAAGATTTATGATTCCAGGATTAGTTTTTAGTGATTATCTAGACTATCCAATTTTAATCAAACAATTTTCTTATTTAAGCATTTTAAGGCCACTTTTTTCTTATATATATATATATATATATATATATATATATATATATATATATATATATATATATATATCTTTAAATTATTGTTTACCTTAAATTACGTTTTCAATTGCTTGATTATATATATATATATATATTTTTGTATCAAGTAATGAAAAAGTTTATAAAGAAGGTTTGACGTTGTTGTAATTCCTGATGCTAAGTTTATTTAAAGTTGCCATCATACCTGAGTGTTTTACAAAAAAAAAAAAAAAAAATTCTTCAATGAAACATAAGATCCTTTTTCTAAGCACATTAAAAACTTTCATTTGAACATTCTCAAGTTAAAATATTTATGGAATATGCTATTTTATTCTGATTTTGTTCTCTGAACTGTTGTTTGTCATAATACAACTTTTACATAAACATAATTAACTTTAAAGGTTACTTTAACTCATGCTGCTGATGGAGTATGTTTAGCAGAAATGACAGTTGATCCAGAACACACCAACTCTGAAGGTACTCTTCACGGAGGATTAACATCCACCCTAGTCGATACCATTTCTGGGATGGCACTAGCAACAAAGACAAAAGATGGAAGTATTGGAGTATCTGTAGATTTACATGTTACGTATGTATAGTCCTTATTCACCATAGAAGTTTTTTTTTTGTTAACTTGTTTTATTGTTATATATTTTTAAAAAATAATTTATGCATACTTGCATATTGACAATTAATGTTTTACTCCTTTAAATAATAAGTTTTAGTGTTGGTATTCCTTTATCCGATTCTATTATTTATTCAATTATTGCTGAAATAGGTTCCTTGTTATTTTTTACCAATAATGTTCTTCAATGAATAATTGATTATTCCTATGGTTCAAACTAGCTTATCATTCTAAAGACAACTTACCCTTTAATAAAGATTCTTCACCCCTTATTCTTCAACCTTAGGGTATCCTCCTTATAAAAAATCATTGGATACATGTCCTTGTTCTTTTTAGTTAGGTAAGTTCTCATAAACTTGTTCTCATCAGATACGATTATTAGGGAGTCCACATTCTCGAGCTCCCAGAACCCTTTCAACTTGGCTTAGTGCAAATCCACAGACTTGCATTGAATAGCTGGATAAGAACAGAGCACAATTAAATTGATGGATAAGAGGATTTTGCAAAAGGTTTATCCTGAATATATTAAAAGATGAAAAAGATTGGGAATTAGAAATGAGACTGCAAGTCATTCCCTCATTATCCACTTTGCCTTCAGAGATTGAATTCGACAAGGAGGTTATCAAGTTTAACAGGACCTATAAAGCAAGATATCGACTTTGTAACCACAGTCATCTCATTATATTTTTTTCTCTCCATTTTCTTCAAAATTGAATTTGACTTGCTGTTTGAAAATTATTTTCTTTTATTATAGAATGTCTATGCAGTAGAATCACTTAAGTATTAAGAAATAACTTTCGATAAATGCTTTATATTTTTTTCAATTTCTCAAGAATGGAAAAATTGTCTTAATATAATATGTTCCAGTCAGTCACTCCTTTAATGGCAGAATTCATAGAAAGAACTTATTGAATAATGGTTGAAAAATTAATATGGGGATTTGGTCTTTCTTTTTTGTTTTTGTCTACCCTTCCATGCCTTTTAGGCTATACAAGATTCACAGTAAGCAGTTCACAATCTTTATCGAACCGCAACTAATTTTATTTGTTTTTGTTCAAACTTTTCAACCTTTGATTCCTAAGTATGCAGATTTATTTTATTAATTTAGTCAAAGTATTAATTAATGGTTGTATACCATCAGATTCCAAACAAGTATGGTTCACTAAATTCTCTTATTTTGATTTAAGGTTCATATAAGGGGTTGAAACTATTGTAAAAAGTACATTTTAACAGTTTCTATAAAACATTTTAGGAAAAAAGTTTTTAAAATAAAAGTTCTAAGGAACTTTTTAAAATAAAGTTCTAGGTTTATGATAAAAGTTTAACTTTTGTTTATGTAAGTTCTTAAAAAAAAGTTATGTTAAATAAGAAATTAATAGTCTGTAAAACCATTACTTGAAAAGTTGCAAGGAAAACAGTTTAATTCCAAAATAATTGAAAATAAAGATTCTAGTCATACCAAAACTGATTAAAAATAAAAGTCCTGGTCTATATTATCAAACAGAATCCAAAATAATTTAGGCAATAATGGCAGCAGATTTTCTTTTTCAGTATGAGCATCTAAATTCATCATATTATAGATATGGTCTGAGAATATTTGAGATCCAACTTTTAAGTCAAGTCCTTAATGAAATCAATAATATATTGTAAGAAACAACATAAATATCATTTACAGGATTGCATAGTTCCATAATATGGATAAGAGGCAATGTTGTTTCTCTGTGATTACTATACTCATACATGGATCCATTTTTTAGGATAAGGCAGATCAAGTCCTTGTTCCTAGCTAGTCTCCGGTATCCTTTCCTCATTCCATATTTTTTTTTAAACTAGTTGTAGTAGTTCTGAAGTCTTTCTCCCCATATTTAACAGCTCTGATAGTAGACTGATTATCTCTTGGACTAATAACAGCTGTTTCTACATCCAGTATATCTGGTTTTTCAACCTCTTATGGGTCGAGGTCCTCAGTGTGTTGCATGTTTTCTTCACTTGTGGATTCTCCTTGATTTCTTTGAAGTCTTTTCTTTTGAAGCCGTCAGAATGCCACCTTTTCCTCGCATTTGTGTTTCTCTCCAGCCTCTCGTTTGTCCTCAATCATTGGCAATATTTTTTGACCTTTTTTTTTTTTTTGTGGACTTTATAATTTTGTTTATCTTTTTCTTGGCAGCTGTATATATATATATGCATGGTTGCTAGTCCCTTTTAGCTTGTGAACCACTTTTTAGCTTTGTTTATTCTGAATACCTATTACTTTCTTAACTGTCTCTTTTAGCACTGTTACTGTTACCTCTCAGTTGGTCCACCATGAGGCTCTCTGATTCCAAGGGTTCAAATTTATTCCTCAGCTCGAGTTAGAATTTAGTTTTTATTTCAGGATTTTTCTTGTTTTGAACTTTCTATCTTATTCTTTCCACTTGATCCCCTGTTTTGTTGATTCACTTTAATCTCTGACATAGTTACAACCTTATCCAAATTAGGTAGCAAATTGAAAAAAAGTAATGTTTAACAAATAAAATTGTTTAATTATTTTTTAAAAACTTATTTATTCAGAATTATTACAATCTGTCAAAAATAAGGACATTTATAATAGTGTAGTTGACATTCTATTTATAATAAATAATACAGAAAAATGATGATACTAAAAGTTACTCTATATAAACAAAAGAACTAAAGTAATGAAAATAAAATATAAAACACGAGCATACTTTTATATAATATTTACAGAATCCATTCAATCTGAAGAACGCCGAGCCAAGCCTTTCTCCCCACTGGTGGAAGGAAAGGCAGGACCAACACCTCTTATACATTACTGGTATTAAGGACCAGTAGAGACTGAGCAGAGGTACAATAATCACACATACATGGCTTGAGTGGAGAATCTGGCTATAGCCAAAACTCCAATATATGCTTATTCACAAAAGGTCTCTGGGCCACTGCTGCTTCAACCTTCGAGGAGGATCGTAGGGATGGGTGGAGCTAGAAAAGGATTATGCAAGAAGATTTGGATGATTTGTAAGGTTCTCATAAAATTTTGAAAATTTTTCTGGCATAAGGTCTAGGACAAATGGGATATCATATGGTGTAAGGTTAATCTAGGTCATGGTGTAAGGTTTTGTTGGTTACATAGAACAGGGCATCAACTATTGTTTGAAGGACTTTAGCAAGCCATATCATCGTTAATTTTTCACCAAATCTCAAGATTGAGCCACCAATTTCGAAGGCTTCCTTCTCCTTCAGTCCAAAATAGTCCAATCACCCTGAAAATTCAAGCAAACAAGTTATGAAATAAAACAAACTTTATTTGCGAATAACTAAAAAATTACACACTTTTCCCTAGGTTATGCACATGATTATATAAAAGATTACTAAATTCCCTACAAATGGAAAAAAAAAAATCAAAATCGAACAATGTTTAGCAAAGATACAACTTATTGAAATTTGTAAACATTTTGGTTCCAAACATTAATGAAGATTTAAATTAATTTTTGTTTCCTTTGTCGATTATATTTATCGATAAAGTAACAATTGATTTCTTTATCTTTTTATACGTTGTATTATTTTATTTACTTATTAATTTGGCATTTGATAACAATATGCTGTGCAAATTTTTCGCACGGGCTTACTAGTTCACTTTAATATGCCAGTTATTACACCGAATGTAATGCTCAATCGAGGAGAGGTGCCTTTGCAGATTTAAGGATGCTATTTCAGGATCAGATTTGGATGATAAGATTGCAGTGTCATCAGCGAATGTTGCAAGGAAGGTATCAGGATGAACCGGGATGTCAGCGGTAAAGAGGATGTAAAGCATGGGACCCAAGACGCTGCCTTGGAGAACACCGGCTTTGATTGAATAAATATCGGAAAAGACTGTTGCATAGCGTACTCGAAAGGAGCAGTCAGAGAAGTAGGATCGAAGGATTAGGTATAAGGACTGAGGGAGATGGATTTTAAGCTTCAAGAGCAGCCCGGGGTGCCATACCTTTTCAAAAGCTTGTGCTATGTCCAGAAATGCACCCGGACAGTATTGCTTGTTTTCTAGGGCTGCTGAAATATGATCAACGACTTGGAGTCCTTGTTGAACAGTGGAGTGTTGTGAGTGAAAACCAAACTATTAGGAAGGAAGATTTCAGGATTCTATGAAGGGTAGGATTCGTTTCAAAAGGAACTTTTCAAAGATTTTTGAAAGGATTGCTAGTAGGCTAATTGGTCTATCGGATGTCAAGCAGTTGAGAGGTTTGCCTGGTTTTGGGAAAAGGATAATAGTGGAGTGTTTCTGTAATAGAGGAAAATGGGTTATACATAGGATGCAATTGTAGATATATGTAAGGAATATGACTGCTTTGGATGGAAGTTGTTAAAGGATCTGAAGGGAAAGGAGATCATATATAGGAGATTAATGGGGAATTAGTTTTTGTATCTGGAATTTTACTTCGGAAGGATGAATTGCTTTAGGGGGCAAGGAAATTGGGATAGTTGATGTAAGGAATTCTTTTACTGGTTGGGATGGGATTCTGGATGTGAAATAAATATATTGGATAGGTGTCTGACGAATCGGGGGTGGGGTGGCCGAATGGACTAAAGTGTGTGAGTTGCCTGGCAACCGGATAAGAGATTTGAGAAGATTTTCAAAAGTATGAGTTCGCATCGCGGTGCCGGAGGTGATTTTAAATTCCCCGCCCTCACCCTCCGGTCCAGGAAAATCCCGTATAGCCTAAAAGGCGAGGTAGGGATGAACAAAAAAAAAAAGAAAAAAAAAAAAAAAAAAAAAAAAAAAAAAAAAAAAAAAAGGTGTTTGACGAATTGCCATAATATTCTGGTACAACGTTTGATGTGGATAAGGTGATGGATGTGTTGGGGTAAATTGGTCTTTTTAGGAATTCTTGCAGAGTTTTGTTGGAAGGAGGGAGTACTGACAGCACTATCGAGGTCATTGGGAAGTTTTAGTGATATATTGAGGTCAA